AATCCTGCTGCTGCTGCTGAGATTTTGTGCATCTGAAGTAGCACAGTCTTGGGCATTTCCCGTGTGGTTTGATCTGTTGTTCAATCATGCTCAAGCCTTTAGCTTTGTATATGTAACTGTCTTCTATGTTTGTTCTCCATTAATGGCATATTTGAGATCTTTAAGTTTAGGACAGTTGGGGTATTGTCTGGTGACTTGTCTGGGGTAAATATTTCCACAGTTACAGAGGAATATTCCAAGCATTCTCCAGGCTCTGAATTTTTCTTTAATAGTGAAGGGAGGAGACAAAATCAGAAATTTAATCTCAAGTAAAATCTTGAAGTTTGCAATTCTACAAAAATTGCTTGAGAATGCTGCTTCTCAAGATGAAAGCAATGATTTTAGCTGGGATGCACAGCTGTGAAGAGACTGGGGATGTCTGGTACAGCTTGAAGTTGCCTCTTGTCTTGAGAATTCTCACTTGAGATAATAATTCTGTCTGATTATAGGCAAACAAGTAGAGTTTAAATCTGATATTTGCAAGATAATCTGTTCTTCCTGAAGAACGAGCCAAGCCCTCCATTGATGTAGTAATTCTTGCAATGTTTCAAGAATATATATGACTTAAAGAGCTGGATGGGGGAAGCACGAGAGAGCTAGTGACACGTGGCTAAAGTTGTGCAATGATATGATCAGTATTTTTTAAAATGTCACAAAGACATTCTAGTTCTGCACAGTTCAAACTGAAAATAGTATCCATCTATTATCTAAGTGCTATTCTGGTCACATGGTCCAGAGGTTGTGGGGTGGGTTTGAGCTGTTCAAATCATTCGGCATGTAAAATGGAATAAACCTAACATTAATTTCACATTCTGTGTTCTGGGAGTAATCAAGTCTGTAGGACAGTCCAAAGTGCTGCTTAATGGAATTTGTGTGGTTTAATTGTGCAGAATAATTTTTCTTCACTAATTTGTCACAAGTGTTTATTATGGCACAGTGTTTAGCTATTGAAAATTGTTGCTCTAAAGCTTTGATTTTTCTGTCTGAGACCATGGAGTTTCTGGGAATTAAATGTCTAATTAATTAAAAGATGTGTTAAATAAAGATACCAGAATCAACCAACCACAAAAACCCACAAAACCAGCAGTGCTACTTAGTGGCTTAAATGTCTGACACTCAGAGGGCTGTGCTGAAACGATAAGGGGGTGAATTTGTATTTCATGGTCCATGTGGATATTTGAAAACAGTTCTCTTCAGCTGTTAGGATAACTGAATTATTTAAAATAGCAATGTTACCTGAATAAGCTCACTTAAGGATATCTCCTATGCAGACTAAGGAAATTTGTACCTTCTGTTTGGAGTACATAGATAGAATCACGGAATGGTGAAGGTTGGAAGGATCTTAAAGACCATCAGGTTCCAACCCCCCTGCATGGGCAGGGACCTCTCCCACCAGACCAGGCTGCACAAGCCTCATCCAACCTGCCCTTCAGCACCTCTAGGGATGGAGCAGCCACAGCTTCCCTGGGCAACCTGGGCCAGTACCTTCCTGCCCTCATGCTGAAGAATTTCTTCCTGATGTCTCACCTAAATCTCCCCTCTGTCAGTCTAAAACCATTACCTATCACTGCCCTCTCTGATGAAAAGCCCCTCCCCAGCTTTCCTGGAGCCCCTTCAGGCACTGGAAGCTGCTCTCAGGTCTCCCTGGAGCCTTCTCTTCTCCAGGCTCAACACCCCAACTCTCCCAGCCTGGTTCCAGAGCAGAGCTGCTCCAGCCCTGGGATCACCTTTGAGGCCCTTCTCTGACCCCTCTCCAACAGCTCCATGTCCTCCCTGTGCTGAGGGCTCTGCAGCTGTACACAGCACTCCATTTGGACATATTTGGATATAAAAGCAGGAGCTGGGAGCAGGTTCAAGCACAGTATATCTATATTTGAATTTCTTTGTTACAGGTTTTTGCTGAGGTGGTTGGATTGCATGAAAACTTGGAAGCCAATTCTAAACCAGATCGGATCTTTTGTCAACAGCACCACAGTAACATTTCTATAGATTTCACTTCTAAAATGAAATATTCTAATGAAAAACATGTGGAGAAAGAGTTATTTTAGTAGGACAGGTAGTCAGTGAGTTTTTACAAGCTTCTGTGGCTTTTAATACATCTTTTGCTTTGCAGTCCAGGCATCGTTGCTTGTTACAAGTGGATTGAAGCAGCACAGATGCTGTTAGCTGCAGGTCTTCTGCAAGGTTTCTGGCTATTTGGTGTTCTGCAGATCCTGTGTCTCCTCTTGGTCCTTCACAGGTATCATTTTGTGTCACGAACAACCTTGGGCTGGAAATGCATTACTGGACTAGCTTACAGAGTGAATAAAGTTTAGCTTCCCTAAGGATTGTGCTCTGCCCTGGGTATTTCAGGAGAAATAACTGTAACGAGCCCATCACACCTCCTGAGGGATAAAGCAGCTCTGCCAGCAGGGTCTGCTGAGCCCCTTGCTTAGTAGGTGCTTCAAGTGGGGCCATAAGCAGCCACACAATTGCATCTCAGACTCCTGCTGGTGTCAACAGAGCACATTTCTGCCCTGTCTTTGCAAAGGAAAACTCCACTCAGCCAACATTGTATCTGAGGGGGAGAACATTACTGGTTCACCTGGCTTGTCCCAGGTGTGCTGCTCCTCCTGCACTTGGTGGCGTTTGCTGCAGGGAGATAAATGCAACCATGTAGCTGAAACAGAAACGTATCACATGCCTGTATGTGCAAAGGAAAAAGAAGCTATTGACCATATTCACATACCTCTGCTTTTCTTTATGAGCAAACAAGCAAAATCCTTGGAAAGGTAAGCAGAAACAAAAGTGCAGTGAATGGCAGATAAAGTGTTGCTTCTCATCCTTTGTGGGCATGCTAAGTGCCTAGAGAACTTTACCTTTAAATACTTAAAATTGTGCCCATTTGTTAACTGAAAGTTTGAGTTTCTTTAAAGAGAAGATGATCCCTTTTCCAGAGTCACATGCAGTGCAAGGGAGTTTGAATAGTTTGCACATCAAGTAACAGGGCAAAAATGGCACAAAACAGATTCCAAAAAGGGGCCGGAAGATAAAGGTGTGGGGAGTTACTGGATGTGTGTCTGTAGTCAGAGAAGGCAGTAATAGAGAGTTTTGTTAAAGTGATCAATTTAATACAAGGCTTGCAAAATTATTTTAACTTGGGTAGGATAGAAATCTTATTTAGGTAGGTTTCCTTTTAACATAAGTTGTTTTGCATAGTGGGAGGAGTTACTGAGAGCCTTGTTTTAGCACAGTTCTTAAGCCTAGCTGGCTTGACTTAGGGCTTAAGTTGCTTAGCAGAAACCAAGGATGCTTCTAATAGTAATATCAATGTACAAACAGAAAAAAATAATTTCTCTTGAGCCATAGTACAGAGATTTTCTCACGATGCTGTTCAGCTGCCAGTTATGGTTAATACTCAGTTTTTCATCATGAGAGCCAGTAAATTAATTCAGCAGCCACTGGTGTTCAGCAGAGGCTTCATTTTGGTGAAGAGGAAGGACCTTCCAGAAAAGCTGGTCACAGAAGAGAACCTGCTGGGGTGAGTTTCTGAGAGAGGCAGAGGAGCTTCGGGGAAGAAGGGAAGAGTCTCTGTGAAGCCTTAGGAACAAATTTTACTTCTATAAGAAATAGACAGTGGAGAATTTAAGTGAAGTAGTTACTGGAATTGAAAGGCTCACTCTGTAGGGCAGTAGAGGCAGATGCCAGTGCTGTGGGGAGGAGCAGGCTGCTCAGTTCTGCTCTTTAGCCTGGAAATCCTTCAGGCTGCTTGGCATAAAGTATCTTCTACTTGTCCCTGAAACGGAGTGGCAAACACTGGCAGGGAATAATATTAGGTTAAATGACTGCTTCTAACTAGATTAAGGGTAAATGGAGAGTAGGTAAGAGAAAACAGATACGTGCATCAGGTTCTGTATATTAAGCTCAGAACACAGCAGGGATAAAATTAGTATTGCAAAGGAAATCCACACAAGCAAATGTACATCAACCAAGCTGAAAATTAGAAGCAGGTCCCTGTTAAAGCTTTGGGGTGTCGGAATAAAATAAATAGCAGGGAAAATAAATTGGCAGCTTCAGAAGAGAGCTACATATCACCATGAAAAATATTTCAAAAATGAGATTGAACATGACAATACCGTACTGAAAACTGAGGAATTTTTTGGCAACCCTTTTACAAATGTTTATTTTTGTTCTGAGTGTTTTATCACCGCACGAAGGGCCATGAACATCAGCTGATGAGCGTCTCGCGGAGGGGCAGGAGGTGCTTGCAGGGAAACAGACCCTTCCCCTGGCTCCTCATCCTCAGGTAGGGCTGGGGGCCCTGCCCTGGTGCTCAGTGGGGGCACCAAGGGCTGGGGCTGTGTCTCCCGGCTCAGAAATGGTCCCATCTCAGGTGGCAAGAGTGAAGACATGAGAGTTTTCAGCCAGTTACGGATTTCTTGGCAGAGATTCTAAGAGAATCCAAAAAATTAGCCTTAAAACTATAAGCTCACTTTTTGGGCACTGAGCATGAGGCAAGTGGAAACCTTAAACTGTTTGTTGAGAGAATTTATTATTTTTTTTTTTACAAAAATGAGGGCATCTTTGAAATAAAGGGTGAGAGGAACATCAAATAACGTTGTGAGGAGAACAAAGCTGATCAGGATAGTATCTAGAAACAGAGCTGCTCCTAATCAGGCTGGAGAGATCAAAAGGAGGTTTTAAAAGCTTTGTTCCAACAGGGAATGGTTTTCATGTCTGTGGGATGCTTGCTTGGTTAGGTACTTGGGTGGAGAGGTTGAGGCTCCCTGGGAGGGCCAGGTGAAGGACGTGGGCTTTAGCCCATGGGACTTCACTTGTCACTTCAACTGCAAGTCTTGTTTGCTCTGGTTTTCTGGAATGAGTAAATAAAGCATCTTAATCATGTGGAGACCCACATGTTAACTATAAACGTAAGAATACAATAAATAGGAACTAATGGCTTTGCCTACTAGTGTATCCCACAATATTCAAGGAGAACTCAGGCCTTCATTTAAAACAAACAGACCAGCAAGTAGTGCAATGTCATCTGGGGTATGAACTGCAACTCAGGGCATGTAAGTTGTGGTGATTGTGCAGAAGCTGGCCTGTATGGCACTGTTGTATATTGCTTGAGTGATCTGTTCATTCCTTGCTCCAATGGAAGGAACAGGAGTCTCTGCAGAGAAAAATGGATCTTGGAAACAGATAGTTCACCAGCTGTGCAGGTTATTGGTGTTGTCAGGTTATTAATGTTGGTAGGATTTGGTGGAACTGAACGCTTACTGTAACAAGCTTCCTCTGATAAAGCCCATGGGAGTTCTTCCCAATAATTTCAGAGGGACCAGAGTCTTTGTATTTAATACTTCTAGATGGCAAACTCATTAGGATAAGGATTTGGGCATTGTATGTCTAGGTCTTCTCATGCACTGGCATCAAGTAACATACTGTAAGTATCTTGCTGAGTAGACTTTCCAATGCTAGAAACTGCTATCCTGGTGTTCCCAGTTCTGTCCCACTTAGTGTATTTCTCTTATAAAGCAAAGCCTTTCTTCTAAGTTAAAAGCTCAATAGCCTGTGCAGTTACTAATTTTTCACTTTCTGGTGTTCAGTCAATTGTAAAGCATTTGAACTCATTCTGCTGTGATGTGAATGTGGGCAGACTTTATGCTGTGCTTACTCATTAGGCCAACTTCAGGCTGTTTTAGAGAGCTGAGGAAGAGAGTGAAATAAAGATAGGGTGGGTCAAACAGCAGCTTGAGCACATGCTTAATGTAAACTATGGAAATTAGTCAGTTACCCTGAATAGAACAGGAAGGGCTCAGATGAGTTTAGGGGGAGATACTGTTTTTTTCAGTTATTGTTATATCTGGAGAGGTCAAAACAAAAACTAGAACCAAACTGAAAATTTGAACCAAGCACATGAAAAACCCCACTACACACAGTAAAAGGTTCCTGAATATTATTATACAGGCTGGTCAGTCTCACCTCTGTGCCTGGCAAGGTCATGGAGCAGATCCTCCTGGAAACTCTGCTAAGGCACATGGAAAATAAGGAGGTGACTGGTGACAGCCAGCATGGCTTCACTAAGGACAAATTGTGCCTGACCAATCTGGTGGCCTTCTACAAGAAGGCTACAGAGGTGGTGGATGGTGGCAGAGCAAGTCATGTCATCTTACCTGGATTTGTGCAAGATATCTGACACTGTCCCACATGACATCCTGGTCTCCAAACTGACAAGGCATGGATTTGACAGATGGACCACTGAGTGGATAAGTCATTGGCTGGATGGCTGCACCCAGAGAGCTGTGGTCAATGGTTCAGTGTCCAAGTGGAGGCAGGTGATGAGTAGTGTCCCTCAGGGGTCAGTATTGGGACCAGTGCTGTTCAGCATCTTTGTTGGAGACATGGACAGTGGGACTGAGTGTCTCCTCAGCAGGTCTGCTGATGATACCAAGCTGTGTGGTGTGGTTGGCACCCAAGAGGGAAGGGATGTCATCCAGAGGAACCTGGATAGGCTGGAGGGGTGGCCAGTGCCAACCCCATGAAGTTCAACAAGGCCAAGAGCAGGGTCCTGCACCTGGGTTGGCACCAATACAGGCTGAGGGGAGAATGGCTGGAGAGCAGCCCTGAGGAGAAGGACCTGGGGGTGGGAGGAGATGAGGAGCTGGACATGAGCCCCCAGTGAGGGCTGGAGCCCAGAGGGGCAATTGTGTCCTGGGCTGCATCACAAGAAGTGTGGCCAGCAGGGCCAGGGAAGGGATTCTGCCCCTCTGCTCTGCTCTGCTCTGATGAGAACCCCTGGGGGGCTGTGTAAAGCTCTGGTGCCCTAAGCACAGGAAGGACATGGAGCTGTTGGAGAGAGTCCAGAGAAGGGCTACCAAGATGATCCAAGGGCTGGAGCAGCTCTGCTCTGGAACCAGGCTGGGAGAGTTGGGGTGTTGAGCCTGGAGAAGAGAAGGCTCCAGGGAGACCTGAGAGCACCTTCCAGTGCCTGAAGGGGCTCCAGGAAAGCTGGGGAGGGGCTTTTCATCAGAGAAGATACTGATAGGACAGAGGGTCATGGTTTTAAGCTGAGAGAGGGGATTTAGGTTAGATATTAGGAAGAAATTCTTCACTTTAAGGCTGGTGAGGAACTGGGATGGGTTGCCCAGGGAGGTTGTTGATGCCCCATCCCTGGAGGTTTTTAAGTCCAGGTTGGATGAGGTTTTGTGCAACCTGGTCTGGTGGTTCCCTGCTCATGGCAGGGGGGTTGCAACTTGGGGATCTTTAGGGTCCCTTCCAAGCTTAATGATTCTATGATTATTCTATCTAAAATTAAAATTTCACTGGCATTCATTACAGAATATGTATGAATACCTATTAAATTCCTAATGCATCTTTCATAGAGGAAGAAACTACTGCAGGCTGGGTTACTGCTTTTGGGTACGTTTGGCACTAGAACTCTTGTAGACCTGAGTGAGCAAGCAGTGGCATCAGCTCTGAATCTGTGTGGTTAGAGCTTTCAGCAGCTGAGAGCCTCCCTGGAGACATACTCCTCAAAACTGGACTTTTGAAAAAATAGCTTCAATTGTCTAATAGATTAATTTAGCAGACCAGAGTGTTTCCTTCTTGATCTGCCATGATTACCATCTAAAGAGCATCTTTCTGAGTACTTGTATAACTTATTCTTCACTTCTCATCCAACTTGTGCATGGATTTAAAAACAGAAGAATTGAACCAAGCTGGCAAGACTGTTTGTATAATCTCTGCCTCATATACTGGCGATGATTGAGCTGCTTGATGTTACAATAGGTTGGAAAGTTGTTTTCTGGAACAGTTTTATTTTCTTGACAGGTATTTATCTGTGTGGTGTATTTATGGCTGTTAGAGAGTTTGGGCTCTACAATACACAAGCACCTTTTAAAACTCCACTGTTTCTTCAGTGCTCTGTATTTGATATCTGCTAAAAATGAGACATTATTTGAATGGCTGTAAAGCTTCTCTGGAGCAGGAGAAGGCAGCTTTGTGCTGGTTGTAGTCCAATAGAAGAACCACTTGTCTTAAATAATTTGAATGGCTGTAAAGCTTCTCTGGAGCAGAAGGCAGCTTTGTGCTGGTTGTAGTCCGATAGAAGAACCACTTGTCTTAAATCTGTATTTCTCTGAATTATCTTAATTTGTGGAAAAGATACTTAACTTGAAAAGCATGTAGATACCAAGTGATCGTGTTCATGTCTGGCAGTGTTGTCTGTGTGTATTTCAAGGTGTGGGTGCTTCAAATTAAACCTTCCTTCTGGAATGGGGTCTTCTTGCTGAGGTGCCTGATCCATGCCATGGGCCCATGTGAGTTGGGGTTACAGGCTCAAGCTCACCAGGGAAATGATGTGATTTAGACAGACAAAACTATTTAGGAATTGCCACATTAGGACAGATTCTGTGTATTTCACTGTCTTAGGGTGGTCCTGCCTCAGGTTTATGTTTAGATGTTGCTTTCTTAAAACTAATACTGGTTAAGTACCTGTTGATGCAATATCCAAGCACTACAGGGCAATTCTGTGGGGGA